GTTAGATAGTTACCCGGGAGTGCCTTTACTATTAAAGGTCCGGCCGGAATATTATGGCGAATCTTATTTCACTCCATTATTTTTATCGCAATTTGTCATGCTAATGGTCATGTTCACACACACCGCCAGCATGGCTCATCAAGACCACCACGCTAGAAATGTTCGTATAATGCGTGAGCAACGTGCACGTAACCTTCATGTGCAAACGGATCTTCTCACACAGAAAGGCTTCACCTTTTGCATCTCACCGCCGTTGGCCATCTTATGATATTTAGGCATGCTTGCTATGACCCATATGATTGTTTTTGTGACGTCAGTCATTCTGTGCAAATATCTAATGCTATGACTCCACCTCCAGCTCATTGTAGATGTACTAAATAACAAGAAGATGTTTATTTTTGAACATAATGAATATATAAGGCACTTTTGAGAGCTGAAGCTCCTAACAAAACGACATTTTATGTTCTACAAAGCATCTAAAAACGCAATATTGATAACATATTGATCAAGCACCTCGAACAGCTGCCGATTACGAATTAGCGCGATAAGATTGGTAATGAATGATCTTATATTGATAAATGCGTGACTATTCAATCAGTGACGCGCGATGCGATATTTAAAAATGTGTTGCAAAAGGCTTTGCGCACAAAAATTACTTACACCAGTTTGAAAATTTGAATTAATAAAACTGCAACCCAAGAAGCGTTATCGCGAAAGAAATATTATGAGAGAGAACGCCACACCACATAGGCATGTAATGGCAGACTGGGTCGTCTGAATCATATCATTTCTATGTTTGATATACCCAGCCTGACAACCCTTTGGTATGTTTAAAGGAATCAGTATGATACCATTCTCCATTGCAGTGTGTCGCTTCTTTAGTCATCTGTTGTCAGGTAATTTAAACACAAATATTACATGAGACTTAGATTTTATCGGTCTCTTACAAGCTTTCGATAACCAATGCACTTCTGCCTCGTAAAGGGCAAATCAAATTAATAATCTAACATCATCGTGCAGTCAAAATATTTTGGATAAAAGCGTTCATGCTATATGTGATTACTGCAAATCAGTATTATATCAGCATAAGCTTTTACCTTGTCTTTGGTCATGCAAATCGGATATGGCATCACCTTTATCCTAAAAATGAGCCCTTTCATAAATTTCATGGTAATCTGATATACTTTATAGCATGAAATAAATCGTTTTTGTTGCTGCTTCCGATGGTGTAGAGCGGTGAACATTGTTCCTGTAATAAATTGTAATTATACGACGGAAAGCTTTTTATAGTGCAAAAAAACTAACCTAATTTCTCGAATTAGATGATGGTAGGCGCTTCGTGATGAAGATATATCGTTTTATATTGATGATCTATGCGCCCTTTTCTGTTTTGAGGTAAAAGTTGTAATTTTATTCTTGCAACACAGCAGACCGATGAAAATTATCTATACTAGGTACGGATAATTGTGGCTGTGCATGTCAATGGTGATGAAATGGACAAAGTGCTAATGTGAATCATTGGTAAGTACTCCACTTCTCGCTGCCAACGCCGTTTATTCTTAAAGTGATTGGGTCAGTATCGAAGCAATGAAAAGGTCTGTATGACAAAGTAATACTCTGAAGAAGAAGTACCTGTATCGAAGTATGGCAAAGTGCGAGGTGCTTAATATTTTGAACGATTACGCATCCAATAATTTGAATGGTGATCTGCCTCTGCGAGTCTCCCCTTAAAACTGAACGATCTATAAATTTTCTCTTCACATGTCCACATGATTACTGCCTTGTTACCACGTAAATATACGCAGCATCAAATCGTATTATTCTGACAGCTTAAAGAGGTTATACGTCCTGACCTCGACTTGGGAATCATTGGTTGACCAAACCAAGATTATTCATTATATCTAAGGACCGGTATCAACACAGTTAGAACAATTCGGCACTGTGACCATTCATCATCGATTTTATCGGCTCAGCAACATCCCTACAGATTCAGGTGATATTTCCGAGTCCTCAAGCAGCATATTACTGACCATTTAAATGAAAGTATAAGTATTCTAAATTAGGCGCTTCACGTACACGACCTGACGTATATGTATAATCTGCTACAGTATTTTGCCTAACCGACCTCAGTAATCATTTGGATGTGAATGACATCATTAAGACCTTCGTTCGACACCTTCCAAGGACGATCAGGATAATCGACAAAAATTGCTCAAGATCACTGTTGTATGTGCCTAAAAATCAGTCTAGCCACTTGTAGATCCTGGTTGCATGAAGACGGCGATGCGCAAGGATCATAAACTATATACAAAGCATGAGGGGAAGGTTAGGGCAATTTGCACAAACCAAATTTCCAGCCTGGTTTAAGGCACCTTTAGACGTGTTGATGTTTAGCTTTACATCATGTGTAGTGTCTATCTTTGCTTGTTGCAATATAGTTATGCAAAACCTCATTATGGGTATTATGCTAATACAGCAGGTATTTGCTAGTCCACTTGTGTGTCTATGTGTAAAAAGGAGACAAGGTAAGCTACCAATACATGAGAACTATTTTTATGTTAGCAACTTTCATTACGACATGTAATATTATAATTGCTAATTGTGATATACGCAAAAGTGACATAGAATCACATCATTCTGATAGTCTACCGCAAGTTTTGTCAATATGCGCGTCTCTTACTATAATTCTATCAAGAATCGTGTGCAAACAACGCTAGGATTATGAGCTTCCATTTTCAATTGCATTTGGAGCGTAAATGCCATCTCATCTCTTGTCAAAGTTAATCAACAGGTGACTTCATTTGCGACTGGCGTAATTGAAAGATAATAATTGGTGGCGTCGAACTGATCCATCAGTCACGCGTGATCGATGAATGCATTTCGTTGTTTTTTCTTATAGAATAGCTCGTATACCTGATTGCATATGACGAACAGAATTGGACAAATCTTTATCGCTAACGAGATTATGATCAGCGTCGAATATTCCTTCACAGATACCTCCTCCCCTATCTTCCAATCCTAACTTGTACTGGTTCCTACGGATTTGTGTGTGTAAGCTGTTAAATCATTTGTCATCTTTTGCTCTAGTATATATGAACAGATAGATATCACTCTTTTTGCGCCCATGTAGGGGTGGACAATTCGCCTGATGTCTTGATCTGCGGCAGGATCACATGCCAGCTGTAGCAAAATATTGAAAAGCGATTTTGTTATCGTGAGTTATTAAGAGCAAGCCCTAAAACTTCTCTGATGGTACAAGTAGTCTAATAATGAGATCAAAGTAAGCTTTGGTATTTGCGTAATTATTTTCTATGATAAATGGTGTGCGGCTGATATGATAGCGTGTGCAATTTACGGTCTGATACAGCATTTGTTGCCGTTATCGTTGTCTTATGAAGCAACACATTGGTCTTTGCTGACGTAATTAACGTCGAATGAGGGAACGAGATGCGAAGGGTGGCCTCACCTGTGCAATAACAACAATAACAACAATAACAACAATCAAAAGAACAGCGAAAAATGCGCGACTCCCCGTGTACGTACTTGAGATTTCCACATGTCGCCGGGGCGTCAGCATACCCCGCAGCATGCGCGCGATCAATCAGAGCCTTCATCCAGCAACATTGAAGAAGACGCTGTAGAGGCTTTTGACCGGTGGTCGAGGCTGGAGTAGGGCAATGGCAAATACCTGAACAAGAACAAGCCTTCGCAAGTCGCACGAGAAATGGTGCAGCTGGAGGTTCGTAAGTTCTTGCTGCAAGTGCTAGTTTCAGATTCGAGACCATTGATAGCGCATAAAGATGCCGTTCGACCAAGCGAGAAGCAGGGCATTGACAGAGGATGAAGAAGTAAGAGATGCCCCTGAAGCGTTAGCGGTAAGTTACGTGTATTGACGTTGAAAGCATTCGAGATTTACGGCTGGTTGATTGTTCGTTTTTTGTGCTCTACTCTGGCAATTGTGACTACGTTCCTTGGCTAACATCCAGCTTTACGGACGCATCGTTGTGAACGAGTTGTCGCGCGGTGTTTAATGCAGATGTTTTTCGTGCATGGTGGCTTGCTGTTTGTAAATATTGATCGTTTGCTGTCGCTGGTGTCGAGTTTTCCGTTTATTCTGAGACTTCTTCGTCATCGGCTTAGGACTGGAGACTATATTCTACGCAAGCGGGTCCTTCTTAGCACCAAAGATGATGGTAGCGTGCGTCTTGCGTACCTCAACATCGATTATACTGTACGTTATGTCTCTGTAGCAACGGAGACCACTAGCACTTCGAAGAGATCGGCCCAGGCGATCTACTTTTATCGAGCGAGGCAGAGATTCGATCAAATAGATAACGTCACGGGCGCGCATGGCACCTAGAATATGCACCGCGGCGGTCGGCCAGGCGGGTTTCAGTGCCCGAAAAAAGCTATTTAGCGGTCAACGGCGAGCAACTGGCCGGTTGACTCTACCCAAGTATCGATATACACAGACAACAGGATTCTTGGATAGTAGATGTCGTAGTACTACTGCCCATGAAATCATGTTTTCTAGGTATTAATATGTGCGGCATCTCGTTTGGGCGTGCCTTGCTTATCGGCCCCAAGCAAATCGACGTTCTTCGAGAGCCATGGATGGAAAATTCCTTCGACCTGTTTTTTTTCCCGCGTAGTTTTAAAAGGGTGCAGGCTTCATCTACTGTCCAATGAAACTTTGCGCGTACACTATCGCTGGCAGCTTTTGCACAAAATATGAGCTCGATGCACGCGAGTCAACACGACGTTACAACACGATCTGCGTGAAGTGTCGTGTTAATCGTTTTAATTCCGAGCGCCAATGTGCAATGCATACATTTGCGAGCTTGCAGATTGCATTGTGCATGACCTGATCACTTGTATTGCATCGAAGGATGTGAGTGCTACTACATTGCGAGGAATGCAGCTAAATGTGAAGAAACGAAGAATCGTCGTACTCATACATGTATTTTTCAAACCTTCACAACAGCATTTGCGCTTTGTCTTCACACACGATAGAGACGAATTACCTCCCTAACTTGCTGCCGGCACACCGGGCAGAGTCGAGTGGTGTCGAGAAGCTCCTGTGCACAGCCCATACACACAGCATTGTGACCGCACGGAACGCAGACTGCCTCCTGAGGTCCGTCAAAGCAAATGACACACTCATCGTCGCGTTGAGCTTCTGCGTTCTGTCCGAAAGCACTCTTCACCGGAGAATTCGGGGCAACAGCTGGCGATAATGTGCGATCGGCAACGGCCAAACCATCGTCTCGAAGAAGCTGCACAATCTCTACCCCATCGGGACCTACAACCGTTGCAGAACTATTCAGCGTTTCAAGCATTGTGTCGGACGGAGGCGGGGCAGATGGCGATGACTGGATTCTGGACTGCCGTCGAGCTTCCTCAAGCGACAGTTGCAGAGCTCGTTTCAAATCGCGTTGTTCCTGCAGCATTGCGGCCTCAGTAGGACTGCTACTCGAGACGCAACATGTAACAGGCTGAGAAGAATGAGCGCGTCGACTGTCATCATCTCTCGATGCGGTCGTTATCGACCTTGCTGGAGTATTGACCTACAACAATTGTGCAAAGTTAGGCTAGGCCGGCAACCATTTATAGTGTAGAGCAACAATCACCTGCAAGGTTGCTAAGAACGTCTTCCATGCAACAAGTTCGCCTTGGTTGGCCGCAGCAAAATCCATTGATTGAACAGCAGACGCACGACTGGAGCCCAGCTTCCTTGAAACCTTCAATGACATGCGAAACTCCTTTCGATTGAGCCAAGTAGCGTCATCGCTCTCCTGTATGCCGTCACTCTTGCGGTATATGAGCTCCAAACTATCGATACAAACGATACATCAGACCCTCGATAACATTGACACCAACTTATAGCGCTTCAACAAGTCGAAGACGTACCTCGGAACAGGCGGACGTCGCTCACCAGGTTTCATCGGAAACAAATCGATCTCAATGACATCCCTCGCACCAGTCTGCAAGGCCATTGCATACCTATACATCGCAAAACAATCCGATTACACCGCATCCAGCTAGCTTATACCCCTACAACAAGACCTCTCCCACCTTTTCTTCCACGAATCCAAACTCGAAATGCCCGATGCAATCGACAAAAAGTTGTCCGACCGTTCATACAGCCAGCCCGAGTAGAGGCACAGTTTCTAGCATCAACAGCATTACACATCATGCCGCACATCAGATGACCACTTCTACGTCCAACACACAAATCCACGCTTCAGTGCATCAAGCCATGTCCAACCTTTTCAATGTGCTCCACACACTGAATAAACTGCAGCTCGCGTCCGTCCGAGGCCTTGTACCCTTGACGTGCAATGTCCAGCGCCGTCTGCGCTTTCACAGACGTCTTGGCGAAACAATCCACCGCGGGCGTCTCCAGCAGCAGCCGCACGATCTCACTCTTTCCACAGGACGTGGCAATGTGCAGCGGCGTATTGCCCTGCGAGTCCCTAACGTTGCAGTTCACACCGTACGCCAGCAGCGTCTGCGCGCAGTGGAAATGGCCCTGCGAACAAGCGTTGGCCAGCGGCGAGTAGCCGTAGACGGGATCCCGCCACTCGGCGTGGACGCGCGTCTCGGGTGTGAGCCGCTCGAGTCCTTGTCGCAGCGTCACGAGGTCGCCGCTCTTGGCTGCGACCCACAGCGCCTGCTCTTCCGGGCACAGCGACTGCGTCAGCCAACTCGCAGCGTTCCCCATGCGCCTGTGGTTTACAACGCGTTCCTACTACTGCCGCAGCCGACAAAAGACTCGCACGCGAGAGAGAGAGAGAGCCTGTGAAACTTAATATTTTCCATCGCTCGCGTCTCAGCTACACGCCGGCAGAACTGACTCCAGTCGCAAACGATCACTCGAGTGCGGCGGGCGATACAGAGCCACAAGACGCGGAGCATCAGTCGCTGTCGACGTTGGGCCGCGCGTTCAAGTCGTCGGCGACGATGGACGTGCCGTGCAATATGACACGCTGGAGGTTCGGGCAGTTGAGGTTCGTCGCGGTCTGCGTGAGCTGACTGCAGCCGCGGAGGTTCAGTCGTCGGAGCGATCGAGAGCGGATGTCCAGATGTGTGAGGCTCTTGAGGAACGACAGGTCCAAGTCCACGGCATGGTCTACGTCCAGGAACAAGTACTGCAGCTCGTCGTTGTGCGACAGGTCGAGGCTCTGGAGCACTTTGGACGTCACGTGGACCCGCGCGAGTCTCGCGCAGCTACTGACATCAAGCTGACGTAGAGCCGGCAGCTCGTTTGCGTTCACTAGTACCTCATTGAGCTGGGAGCAACCACAAAGGGCCAACGTTTCTAGTGCTGGGGATCCAGGCAGCATTTCGCTGAGCAGATGTCGTGCCTGTACTGCTCTTAAGCTTCGGGAGGACAACGAAAGACTCTTGAGCTGGGGCAAGCGCGAGTCGGCATGGAATCTGGTCATTGGGCAATGCTTGATCGTAAGTGCCTCAAGATTAGGCGCGACGATAGCGAGTTCATGCACCTGGTAGCACTCGCAAATGGTGACCTTTGTGAGCTTCTCGGCCAAAAGGTGCAGGTCAAATCCATTCATGCAGGTCACTCTGGTCAACGTTAGCTCTCGCAAACGCCATCTATTGTCCAGCCACGGCACGAGTGATTCCATCGTCGGTATCTCCTCCAAAACCGCATCTTGCACTCGCAGGCACCACACGTTCGGGAAGATTGTGGACAACTGTACCATCGACTTGGTGCTGCTTATGTTGCAGGCCGTGAGTTCCCATGTATGTTTCGGGATTGAGGTGCGCAAGTTGGAGTTCAGCGCTCGTATTTGACGCAGCTCACAGCTGGTGAGCCAAGCCGTGATGTGGCATAGCGCACCGGCATTCTCCAGAGACATTCCGCTCGGCTGGATAAAGATGGACAAATAATTGGAATCGACCTCTGTTTTTTTGTAATTTGATTGGAAGCTCGTTTACTTTTTGAGGTTTGTGTCTGCAGAAAAGGCTGTATTGCTCAGCATAATTTTCATGCAACCCACTTTATCATTGAATATTCACGGGTTAGGGATAAGTAGGTCATTATGCAAACATTTCATTTCCGGCTTACTACAATTTTAGGCTAAACAGCTGTCCACCGTTGGGGAAGCCAAGTCTGCTGTCTTTGCGTAGATGTTGATGCCACTTGACAGCGAAGTTTGCGCCGGTCTCTCTCAATGCCGACTTTGACCGCAGTCAGCAGAAGTCACTATACAAACATGTTGCAACTCAATTTCTCAAAGAAAAATGACGGCTGAAAACGGTAAAAGGTCAACGCTGCTGCATTTGCATCATACGCGTTGGTTGCGTACAACTTAGCTCTTGTTATTGCCTCGATAGTGTAGTAAAGCTACAAATGTGAGTAGAGAGCAGCAGCAGATAGTATGACTTTATCATCAGACGTACACGATAAAATTACTGCATTGTTTCAGCATGAGGCAATACTTTTGCTCCATACAAATCGCGTCGATATAATTGTCATAGAAGACAACAGCCTCTCTGTGTGATGAACAATGTTATGTGATACGTCCAATACATCGAGGTGTAGCTTTGTTATCGTATGGGACGGCTCAATTGCCATGAACATCTCGGTATCTACAGATCGGTATACTCCAATTTGGGTAGGTATTCGCATACGAGTCGTTACGGGTACATATATGTTGAGCTTCTGGATTTAGATGAGTCAATTAACATCTTCCGTACGATCCTGCTTTTACATTAAGCAGATTTGGGATCTTTCATTTCTACCATGAGCCATCGTTGTAATTGCACGTGCAAACACCGAGATCGTGCCTCAAGAGGACATGACTCGTGTCATTGCAGTTTAGTCATTCCTGATCCGGCTTTCAATGAGCACGCTCGTAGTGCTACACCATTTTCTGGTCGCAGTCGTAGCAAAATAGTCAACAACGATGCAATGTTTCTCCTGATGCGGATATGAGGACGAGGACGACAAAATGTATGGTCTAACTACCAAATTTTGTCCGTGGTAGCGAAAAGATGCATCGCACTTAGGTATGTCGCGACTGCCGCAGGTATCGTTCGGTTTTAATCAGTCTTGTAAAATCGTTGCTTGTATCTGTTGTTTGCGAATACCTTACCCAAGCTCTCTTCCGACAAAAACATCGTTTCTTGATCGAATTGCAAAGCCGTTTTCACTAAGGTTGCCCATCTTCGACTAAACATGGAAAGAGGGTGAGATTTCTGAGCCAAATGACAGCGCTGATTCATGTTGGGCGTATTCAGCTACATATATGTATTTATACCACTGTTGACGCTAAGCTGTTGGGTAGATGACGTAAGGGTAAGTCGCTATTTTCGTTATAGGCTTGGCACAGAAGCGCAAACGTAAATAATGAAACACGCCATAATTGTTACTGGACGCACCAACCAATGACGTTCAAAGGCACCTGTATTGTTCCAAAATCGATTGGAATCGTTCACAACGCGTACATGATGAGTTATGTTGGACTGTCAGTCGGCACTTTCCATTCGTGTGGGTCAAATACTGCTCGATTGTGCAGTGCGCCTTTGTCAACAATCGCACAAACCTCACCATTGAATTTCCGTCTGCTTTATGTAGTTTTGTAAGAGGAAGAATTGGGTAACGGGTCGTATGCTTGGCGAGCATGTGGTATGGTGCTCGTCTGTATCATCAAAAGCAATGTAAAAAGGATGAACACATACTATCGCCAAAGTTCCAGTACTGCTACTTCGATGCACTAACATCATCAGCTCGTCATATTTTGTTTCAAGACCAAGGCGAGCAGCAATCATCAGGTTTCTTCGAGTGTGTTCGAGCTCTTCTGCTTTTTCGGTGCCAAGCTAGGGAGCCACCTTGTCATCACATGTGATGTCGAAGGGAACAAACACCCATTTTTACCATGCTCGTATTGACGACATCTAGCGGACGAATTGCAGGATGTTGTTACGAGTACTAGGTTTCGCTAAACAATTAGCAACAAACAGAAGACGGCAAACATTTAAGGCTGGGCTGCATTAGATTCGACTATACTAAGAAACCTTGGACGAGTCTTACGAATGCTGTGATAGAGAATTGAACTAAAGCAGATGACGACGGCCAAGGTTACGGAGAAATAAAAGCATGACGTGTTGACCTTCTCGCCTATCATGGAATAATGAATGCAAAGGGCAATCGATAAAACACAATACTTGACCGTTGTCTCATAATTACAGGCAAGTGATTCCACAGTCTAGACCCATGAGTATTTTTCATTGCACAGCCAGTATGGAAGAGGCTCCGAAGAATCTGCTGCGTTCCGGTGACAGAACAACATAGCGCTTGATAGCGAGGTCTTCGCGATCGGCAAATTTGATATTGTAGCGGAGGCTCGCGTCTCCGTGAGCTAAGAATGGGGGAGGATCCCACATTACCACAGTAGTCAGACTGAATTTGCGTGCTTCCTCCAAAGCTTCGTCCAGCAGCAATTGTACACTTATAGCAGCATCAGTGGGCGCCTCCGGAAACCGGGCACGAAGAATGTACAACGTTGACTCCTTCACGTTATGGCACCAAAGGATAAAGATATCTTCGTTGATTTTCACGCCACAGCGAGACGGAAGCTCCATGTACCCACGGACTCGAGCGTAATGCTGGCCGATGCAGAATTGCCACTCAGTCGAATCGCGAGTCGGTAGCACTACAAAAGTGTCCCGCCCTCGATATTTCTCATCTTTCAGCAGTTGGAGCAGCCTCCTGTTGTCACTACGTAGCAACTTGTCGAGGTTCGCATCTAGATACAGTGACACCATTCCTGTATCGCTGCTGCCGTTTACGTCGGTAGTGAACGAGTTTGCGACATCTATTGCGGCCATCTTGGACGGATGCAACTTCCACCCAAGCCTGCTATAAAATGTCGGACCGATATCCGAGTACAGCACTGAAACGACCGCCCCTGAAAGTTGTTTCAACTGCTCCGCCACTTTCTTCATAAAAATTGTAGCAAGCCCTTGTTTGCGGTGCTCTGGCAGCGTGAACACTGATCCGATATGATGCGAGTAACCCTGTTCAATTTCCCCAGAAACATGTCTCACAGCGCAATTGAATCGGTGACTTTCACAGTGACAATACAGTACTGTCTGACCCGCTACCAGATCCGCGTCATCTCTGACATTCTGACTATCCACCAATGCCCAAAAGATGGACCCGCGCTGCGAAAATGTCGACGAGCGTTGCACTGCCTCTTTGCGTTGATATTGCTCCATGTCCAGCATTGGCGCGCCCCACTCTTCGTAATCGTCCAGCTTGCATTGAACCTTCAGCGCCTCTTGTGTGAGCTGCACCACACGAAAGGTAGACATCGTTGGCAAAGTGCCTGTCGGTGTGGGAATGAGACCATTGATTGGGTATCGTATTGCTTTCTGGGACACCGACGCTGCCCAATCACAAACGACATTGTTTGACGTGTCCAATCTGCTATTGCCACCATCGCTATTTATTTTACTACGATCAGTGAGTCGTATACAAAATCCTCCATCCTGTTACGATACCGCAAAAATGAGAACATCAATTAGTAAATATTCCCCTCGAGATCATGGCCGGCGAGCCGAAGATGATAAAGGTGCCGCGCTATTTACTTCGTCTAGATATACTTGACAAATTTGGTGATCGAATTCTGCTGGCTTGCGCTGCTTCTAAAGCCAAAAAGTGTATTGCATCAGCGGTAAAGGGGTAGGTCAACGGGGGCGGATACGATTGACATGACATTGACAGTTCGTGACGGGTAGACGATACACTGACATTGGCACTGTTTGTGCCAATGTACATAGTACCGAATAAGCTATGTTGAATGGTTTTACGTGCAATAAGCTCTATTCATAGGGTAAATATAAGGCATGGCAAAACTCTACACATGAGCTGATGCCTTGGCCGACAGCAGCTCGACTACAAAAACAGAATTTTGGGTACTGGTTAGCAGACAGCCATTGTACACATTTGTATCATATATCGTTTTAGGGGTTATAGAAGCATACCTTATTTGACTCGATTATCCAATCTTAAAACAACTATTTTGTCCTTACATTGCCAAGCACGTTCAGTTGTTTGCTTCTTGTACATCGTGTCCATGAACTATTGGGTGACCGAATTGCACTTGTATAGATCGCTGGCGCTATGATTGAAGTGTGCGGAACGTCCCTGTGACACAATTATAGCATGAAAGTGTAACAGGACACCGACGACTACGTACTGGTCAACTAGTACGTAAGTTACTATCACTGACTGTAGTGATAGTCAGTGCCCATCTAGGTGTATAAATACACAGAGGAAGGTAGAACGACTAAGGTGAAAGACTCTAGTCGTAGGCAAAGTAAAACTGTTATCAATATAATTAAGTTTTATAACTCTTGTATCTCTGTTTGTCCTGACTTAATTATACTAATGTAACGAAATGTATGATGACGTCTACTCAACACTCATTGCGCGCGTCTAGCAGTGATTGGTGGGTTGATATCATCACGATATCAACCAATGAGTAGACCCTTCGGTCATCTTCAACAATATCATCATGCTCTGTAATTATGTTAAAAGAATATTCAACGTAATATTATTTATTGTCATTTGATCCTTAGTGACAATATCATGTAACGGGCTACCCCGTTACATCACCCCTCCCTTAACTGATAGTCACCGTGTGACTATCGAAACTTTTTTTGGCCACCCGTTCGATGCCAACGAAACGGGGAGTACTTGTTGGTCAGATTCATTCATTCTGACTTTGGCTCGTATCGTTAACATGTCTATGCGGGGTGATCCAAAGACGACACAGCCTGTTGCTGCGCCCGCCTTTGCGGCAGACGACTCGTAGTCTGCTGCTCGTTCTCAGCCTGCAGCAGGTGTTGCTGCAGGCGCATGTGGTATCGCAGCTTATGCACACAGTGACCCCGAGTTAGGGGTCAGCTACTCTGGCGAGTCAGATGTGTCTGACTCGGAAAAGCCTTTAGAGGTACCGCGCTCACATGCGGTGCCTCGTTCATCAAGAGACATGCCGACGTACGGACTCGCGACATGCGTCACAGTCTGTTCGGCAGTGATGATTAATATGGTGATGATTATGATTACTCCTCACCACGATCAACTCGTGCGCCTTCGCACGAGCGATTTGACGATGGTGCGATCCGTCGTCATACTGATAACCGTGGTACAAACAAAGGTACCACTTCGAAGCGTGATAATCTGAAGCCGTGGCGTTTTCCTGAATGGGCTTATCATCAGCTTGTTTCACGAGACAAGTCAACACCATCGAATACCATTATTCGATGCGAGTGAGCTTCACGACTTGAGTTCCAGCGCGAAGAAATTTCGCGTTGAAAAATACTTTAATCTTGATGTTTTTTTTAAGCATCTATGGTACAATGGCAACCAAAAGCGTGACATGAACTCGCTTTTGGCAGCGTGGAACGCCTTCGTCCAAAATGTCTAGAATTTTGAACGAGAAGGGTGGCTTAAGAAGCTTGAGGCGATACGCCTCAAGTTTGAAAAGCGAACGCCAACCGGTGCAAGGTACCGATTCCATATTTGTCAAGTGAGGCCGGCATTCCATGCCTTACTTGGGGTGATTCTTGAGCGAGCTGTGTCTACAATCGCAACGTGCACATAGGGACGTGTATTCCCTAAGTTCGCCCGGGGGAAGGGCATACATCTCAGCTGAGATGCGGGACGCGATTGCAAACTTGCAATCCGTCTACAAGCGCCAAAAGCGCGTGTTTACCGATGGGCTCTCGGACCTATCGGATGAGTCTCGTCATACTGGTGAACTAGACCTTCAATGTCAACCATCAGCTGGGATCGGGGTTCCCAGCTGTCATACGATAGTGGTTTCCCACGCCAGCGGACAAGGTAACATGCCCGCTCCCTTTTCTTCACGCGGTGGCTCAAGATACGACCCACGTAAAGGCGTCGACCACCGTGAGAATATATCAGTGGTTCCAGTAGCAGTGGATAGACAAGGGTTGGCTCAACCCCCGGTCCTGCAGAAGACTTTGGGTAACTATTGGCGTTACCTGACCGAGTTGAGGGTGGACGTCGATCACGAATACAATCGTTGGCACAACTTGCTGACGACCGTACGACGTCTCCGTACCTATCGGGAGAAGGACCGATCTTGCGTTCTTTCAACTCGAGAGCGAAAGCGTGAAGCACCGTTTGCGCGACGAGCTAGAGGCGGCTTGTCGCGAGACCGCGTCGCTGAAGGACCAACTTGAGACTTTGGTACGTGATCACAAGAATATGTTGGGGATTATTGAGCGTGCTGGCTGTCTCCGTTCTCGCAAGAGGTCTCGTACCCATAGCACGGGCGGAGACGACCAACATAGAACGTAGGATGCGTGCGCATCCTGCGAAACAACTCAATCGTGTATGCATTGCCCTTCCGGTGCAACACACAAAAAGGACCAATGTATTTCGGCAGAAGTTTTCTATTGCCGACATTAGTGACTACATGTTCAGGTAAGTTTACCGTAGACAGTAGTACAAGGTCATTAACTTTAAATTAAAGAACATTTGCTCTTCTATTCTTGTCTGCGTTCCGTTTCTGGCGGTCCACCGCATTTGCGATGGAGTCCTGAACGAAACGGACTACCGCCTCTCGAGTCAGCAGGAAGTTCTCTGCTGACTCGTTGTTTTGTTTTTCAGTGCGCTTCGTGCGCACTGCAAAGAGATCGTTCTCTTCTTCAACGAGGGTGTCTTCTTCCTCGCTGGCATTGTCGTTGACGATGCTGAATATCCCAGCATCGTCATCATTGTCTGATGTAGCAGCAGCGTCATCGCTACTGCTAAGCTCGATTTCCTCGATGTCGACAACGTCGACATCGGCATCAAACGTATCGGCGTGAGCGGTGATACGTGATGAGCAAGAGCCAAAACGGTTTTCGCTCGAGCGGGTCCCTCCCCCCTCTTAACCCAGAGTCACTCTGTATGAGAGCGGGAATACTTGGGTGGTGTAAGCCATTTACGTAGAACGGTGTATGAGTTGTGGACGCATGCACGGAGTTGTTGATGGCAAACTCAATCATCGGTAAGAGCTCACTCCTATGTGAAAAGGAGTGGACGTATCCACGAAAAAATTCTTCGAGGACATGGTTCGCACGTTCGGTCTGACCATCTGTTTTAGGATGGTCAGACGTTGACATCTTCAACCGTGTTCCCAATGTGCGAAACACGAATTGCCAAAACGCCGCCGTGAACCAAGGATCACGGTCGTATACGAGTTCACGGGGTAAGTCCGTGGAGTCGAAACACAGTGTGGATGAAGACACGCGCACAACCGTGTGCATTGATCGATTCAAAGACTGCATCAAGATGGACCATCTTGCTGAAACGATCCACAAATACAAGAATACCATTATTCTTGTTAGTGTCTTTGGGGAACCCGAAGACAAATTCCATGGACACGGACTCCCAACACTCTGCCGGGACCTGCAGAGGTTGTAACGGTGCACGGGATGAAGGGCTAGGCTTCACCCGTTGACAGACCTCGCAAGCACGTATGTACTTGCGGACAAACTGATACTGGCGGGGCCAGTAAAAGTCACGACTGACCGTGAGGTAAGTCTTTTCTCGGCCACGATGACCGCCAGACGACGCGTCGTGACACTCGAACATGATGCGTTATCGCAATTCATCATGATCGGAAACGACGACACGAGGCGTGTCGGAGGCAACTGCTGTATAGTGTAGCAGGCCATTGGGAGTCGTTTACCGATTCAAAGAGGAACGGTACAGGGCCGGCAAATCCGACAAAGATTTCCGGGATGGATTCGCAAGACGACCCATCAAACGGAGGAGATTCTTGTCTCCTGCGTATGCCTTCTGCACGTCATCGAGTAACGGCGACGACGGCACACTGATGGACAATGTCGCAACAGTGGGCAAGGCCTCACTGTTGTCTCGGGTCGTTGGCTCGAAGTCGGGCCGACGTGATAACGCATCAGCGACGACGTTAAGTCGTCCTGACTTGTACTCCACGGAGAAGTTATACTCCGCAAAGAAGGACAGCCGCCTCGCCATCCTTTGCAAGAGGTGTGAAATATTCACGGCCGTGCGTAGTGACGCATGGTCCGTATAGACGATGAACGGTCTATCTCCCAAGAGATAGACCCGGAACATAGCCAGTGCATATTTCATGGCAAGGAGTTCCTTGTCATGCACTGGATAATTGCGTTTATCAGGTTGCAGCTGACGCGATTGATAGCAAACGACGCGCTCTGCGCCGTCTGTATCATACTGCATCAACGCACAGCCGATCGCAAAATCGCTGGCGTCATAGACCACATGAAAAGGTCGGTCCTGATCTGCAATCGCC